GTCTGACATGTCTGATGAGCTAACAGGTCTGATGATCTAACAGGTCTGATGGATCTAACATGTCTGACAGGTCTGATGATCTAACAGGTCTGATGATCTAACAGGTCTGATGGATCTAACATGTCTGACAGGTCTGATGATCTAACAGGTCTGATGATCTAACAGGTCTGATGGATCTAACAGGTCTGACAGGTCTGATGATCTAACAGGTCTGACAGGTCTGATGGATCTAACAGGTCTGACAGGTCTGATGATCTAACAGGTCTGATGGGTCTGCATCATTTCTTTCTGTTTGATTGTTTGTAAAAACACCATATTTTTGCCCCTAAACTCCAAACCCATCATTTCCAGTCTGAACAGCTGGCTTAGTTGTCAGGGTGAGGTCAAAGGTCACCCCCCTGGGACATGAACACGGGATGCTTCATTAACTGTAGATCTATAGTGATTCCCAGTCCCCCGTTTGGATCAAGCCAAGGAGCGACGCTGAGCAAGGAGAGCCGGTCCATCACAGTGTTAGCTTGGAGCTGATGAGTTTAATGTTCAGCCATGGTGTCTGCTCCACATTCAGCTCACTCTGCCACTGAAGGAGGACCAATCTCTTTGTATGGATCTATATTCTGTATTTTTACTATTTATGCTGCTCTTATAAGCGTGTTTTTCTAAAGTTGTGTATGCAGTCGTTTCTATCAGCTCTATAAATGTCTTTAAAACAATCAGTCCTGCTGTTTTCCTTTTTCCATCACCTCCATCTAATGTCTCTAACCCATCATTGTTTCCACTATTATAGAAAACAGGGATCAGATGCAGAGACGGTTTCTAAACTAAAGGTTTAATTCCAGCAACCTTAAAAGCTTTAGGTACATATCTCTGTAACAGAGATAGATTAATCACATCTAAAATGGAGGAGGAGATCAAAGGGAATACCTCCTTAAGTAACCTGGTTGGAACTGGATCTAACATTCAAGCTAAAGGCTTAGGCCTCTTTCCCTCCGAAAGCAAGAGGATTAGTTTTATCGAGGTGCTAGGAATCCTGGGTAATTCATCCCATAACGCGGTAAACTCAGAGACAATCAGCCTGAGAGGAACTGCACTACACCTTCAGCCCAGCAGGAGGCGCTAATAACATAAAACCTGTGTAATAACCAGGTAAACCTCAGATATTTACATCACAAAAGGAAAACACTTTCACTTTGCAAATATTTATATCAAGTCAAAGTTCTAAATGGTGGATTTGATGCCGTTGCTCAGTTCAGGATCTTTAGTTCTATTAGATGCTGGAGATGAAATTCTAGAAACCGGTTTGATATGGGATTTAAATGACAGTTCCTGATCAAAAACAACACCAAGATGTTTTACTTTATTATCTGAACTCAGTTTAATCAGCTTCTTCTCCAAAAACTATAACAGATTTAATGGATTTTATTCATTTAGTTTTTCAGTTTATTTCTATAGCGCCAATTCACAGCACGTGTCATCTCAAGGCACTTTCCAGTTCTACAGATCATCCAGTCAGATTGATTCCAGGTTTTTTTATCTAAGGAAAGCCAGCTGATTGAAATGACTCAGTGACTCGGATGTAATCCCTCACAGGGATTAACATCAACATAGATGGCTTCCTTCACTCCCCTCTCAAACCACCTCTCCTTTGTCTAAAATGTGAACATTCTGGTGCTCCAATAAGTGTCTGTTTTCCTTAAGGTGCTAGTGGATAGCAGAGTCCTGTCTGGAGGAGGTAGCTCTTCTGTTTGGAGCCATGCGTCTGGTTGTGTGGTTTCTCCAATATCACTATCAGAGCGTTCCTCACTGCATTGAACTGCAGACATTACTCCGCCACACACAGCAGGAGCTGAGCTGACATTGATAAACTTGCTCTGTTCTGCTTTCCACAATGTGCTGTGCTGGAACCGCCTGATATATTAAAGCTTAGAGTCATTCTGTGCCTTAATCAAGGGGAAATGGCAGTTTTTCCAACTTTGGTTCACTGTAAAACTTGATTATGTTGAACTGAAGTGATTTGAGTAAACTTATTGACATAAAATTATTTTAATTCATTAACTCAAGAGTATTGAGTTGAATAGAAAATCCAATTGTGTATGTTGAATATTTTCCTTTTAGTTTTATGGATATTAGGATTTTAATTTTTTACACCATTACCTGAACTTGAGACCTTTAAGGTCCCTATATTCAAAACAATTTTAGTTGGTTGTCAATTGGACTTAATAGAGCTGCAACTGTTGGACTGTCAGCTAATCAGCTGTTTTATATTCTATTTAATTCCCAGCCAGCTGGGAATTTATATTTCTGATACTTTAAGATGTTTATTGCCCTCCCCTGTAGGGGTGGTAAAATATTTTATTAATCAGATATTATTTTAGCTGTTATATAGTGTTTATGACACACAGTCCTGCTAACTGTGTGTTAGAACAATAGATGAAAGAGTGATTCGAGCACTAATCATGGTCAAACAGTTAATTGTGCACATACATGGAATAAATTCACCACAACTTCTGTTCAAAATATAAGAGTTTATTAACAAATATCATTCAGCTCCAAGTCAAACATATTTCAGTTTAACACTCTCAACTAAGACTAGTAAAACTCAACTAAACTAAACTACTGTGTACAAAGAGGAAAGAGAACATGGTAAAAAACCATGTTAAAGTTTAAGATGGATTTTGTGTTTGATAAAGTTTAAAAGGAATAATGTGGGATATGATCAAATTAGCTTTTCACAAATTTTAAAGAAATTGGAATGTTTTCAGACCAATTCACAATGCAAATCCATGAGGTGAATAAAACATTATTTGGCCAAATAATGTTTTATTGAATCATTTGCTTAATCAAGAACCAAAAACCTTTAGCTAAATGATTGTTTACCCTCTTTGAAATAGCTAGCAGCGAATAGACATCAGGATTCCACTAAATGACTCTTGGTCATACTTGGTAATGGAAATGTAATGAGCATCTGAGGAACACATGAACACTAATGTTATATCAGTCTTTAAAATCCTTAGTGAATAAAGCTTGTCCAAGCTTCAGCAACAGCTCAACACATATTCCTGCAGCATAGCGTAGCATGCAGTCCATTCTTTAGCATCAATTAGCATCGTCTTTACTCAGCAGTAAACACACGATATGATTAGCATCATCAAAAGACACATTGCTTGTTCTGTCCCTAATCATGCAAGACCTGCAAACCTTTTTCCATGTCCATTTGGAAAGCTTGAGTATCATCCATTTGCAGCTCTGCAGTCAGGACAGTAAGGCAGGCGTTCTTTGTCTCAGTCGTTCATCAAGGCAGTCCTTTTCTCATCCAGTTTGGCTCTACAAGTTCTGAAACTCAAGAGAAATGTGTTGCAAAAGGTCTGTTTGCAGCAGTTTGGTTCTGAAAGGTTCTGACTTATCCTTGATGGTTCTGGGGATCTGGTTCCCCTGGGGCTCGTATCTCCACTGTGGTGGAGATCCAGCCAAAGCGGACCCCAGCTTCCTGGGCAAGGGAGAGGAGGCAAGGAGAGCAGGAGGCAAGGAGAGCAGGAGGCAAAAGAGAGCAAAAGAGAAAAAGGAAGGGCAGAGTCTTGTGTGCTCGGTGGTTTTGTTCTGTCCTCACAGAGAGGTGGGTAGGTTTTCACACCTCTGGTGGCTTCCATGTGACTTGCCTGTGACTGCTTTGGCTGAAAAGCCAAAAGTCAAGAAAAGTATCATTATGGCATATGGCATAACACAGTCAATGTGTCCAACAGCCAACTGCTTTGTATAAGTGATGACTTCTTATGCTACATTCAGACCGCATGAAGTAGAAGTGGCAAAAACTCGCTTTCTGCTTCATCTTTGATGCTTGTACAAGTTAAGTTCTGACACGCAGCTGAAGCATCTCTGCTGCTCTAGCTGTGCGGTGGAAAAGTGTTGTGCAAAATGATATCCTGCAGACAATGAATAAACGATTAACTAGAACTGGAGTTATTAGAAAATAAACACATGGTAGATTGAGTGACTAGTTTTGAAAGAAAATAATAAAACCCTAAGAGTCCGTTTAACTGGCTTCTGAGATTGCCCAGGATAGGCCAGATGGAGAGAAATATCAGCTGTGCTGCTGCCATCAACACCTTTGTTTCTAGATGTTGGAGATCAGCCTGTTTTTCTGTGTGGTCCTGTTTCTCTGACTGTGACTAACTGGATGTGCTCTCTTCATCCTCTGACATGGGGGTGTTTTACAGTTGCTTTTTGTATCTTTGCTTCTTTTTCTATGTCTGCTTCTGTCTCCTTGAACCCCAGTTGGCCTCAGCAGATGGCCGCTCACACTGAGCCTGGTTCTGCTGGAGGTTTATTCCTGTTCAAAGGGAGTTTTTCCTCTCCACTGTCGCTACAAGCATGCTTGGCGTCAGGGATTGCTGAAGAATCAATGGGTCGATGCATTCAACTTTTTTTCTTAGATAGAAAACTTTGAATCAATCTGACTGGATGATCTGGTGAACTGGAAAGTGCCTTGAGACAATATGTGAATTGGCGCTATAGAAATAAACTGAACTGAAATATTTTGTCTTTGTAAGGTTAAATGAAATCCCATGGAAGCACATAACATTGTTACTTTAAATCTCAGGATTTACAGAAAAATTTGATGTGAACTTTTGTAATAGAGAGTCTAAGAAACTGTTTAAACTGATTCCACTGATTCACTTGATTAAAAATGGTTTGATATATAATTATTTCTGGCCAATACAGCCTAATATGTTGGTCGCACAATTCAACCTGATGGATTAAAAAATGTATGAATTGGCAACTTTTAAATCTTTATGATAGATCTGTTTAGAAGAGAGACATTCCCTTTATTTAATAAACTACTTTGCTAAATACATGATAAAATGATAAATAAGTAGTTAAAATAATTAATTTGCAGTTAAAATAATCAATGTGTAGATAAAATAATTCATATTTAGTTAAAATTATATATATAATATATATATATTAAAAATATAATTAATATAATCTATATTTATCTGTTCTGGGTCAGAACCAGTCTGAGTCCAAACAGGTTTTTCTTCTATTTAATGAAATAAATCATGAAGAGGAGGATGGAGATGGATGGAGGAGGATCTTTGTTTTTTCTGTTCCATTGAAGACCTCAGAGCTGATCTGACTTCCTCCGCCTCTTTGTGTCACGGGAGGAGGCGGTGCCGGGTGGACCGTGGACCGCTGGCGGGGCGTGTGCCTCCGGTTCATCAGTTCGGGCTCCGAAGCTCTGGCTGCCCGCTGCGCTCCGGTTCAGCGATCAGAGGCAGGCGGCCGCTGCTAGACCCACATCCACGCGTGATCAGAGGAGCCGCTGTGTTTTGGATTTACCGTGGCGTGGCGTGGCGTGTCCTCCGGCTGAGGCGGAGAGACTGAACCGCAGACCCAGAACCCACCCAACGGTTCCACGGCCACAGCTGTCACGCAGGTAGGTGACACGGAGGGCTGAAGCCTCACTGGACCCAGAGGCGGAGACCAGAACCAGAACCAGAAGCGGTGGTTCCGATCCGGGAGCTTCCTGGACTCCCTAAGCGGTCCAGGTTCTTCTAGTCAGATGATTTATGGATTAATGTCACTGATCTTTGGAGCCCGAGACGCTTTTAGACGTTCAGAAACTAATCATTTGGATTCTTAGTTAAAATAAATGTCAACAACCTAAAAATAATAATAAAAAAACACCTTTCCATGAACTTTAAGGTTTTCTTTTTTGACCCAAACATATTCCGACAAATCTGAGCTGCTGATAGATAAACCATCTCAATGCTTCTGAAATTTGCCAGTTTCTACTCTGAAGAAGTCCCGCCTTTCCTTCCTACCTTCCCAGTAAAAGCTTTTTAACCAGCAGCTCCCAGTATGATTCCATGTTTATCAGCAGGTGGACTTTAATGATCCTCCCATGTACAGAAACTCAGATGTGAATGAAGAGCTGACCTGCAGCATGTTATCTATCATCTATATCCAGGTCAGTCATTCCAGAAAAGTTCAAAATCAGTCTGCTGGACTTTGTTTCTGAGTTTGAAGACGTTTCTCTTCCATCCAGGAAGATTTTTCAGTTTAAAATGTTAGAAATACAGTTGAGTTCCAGGTTTTATCCAGTAGCCCAACAAAGCCGTTCATCCGTTTCTATCTGCATGTTTTCTAAACTAAAACCAGGCTTTGTTGGGCTGCTGGATAAAACCTGGAACTAAACGCTATTTCTGACATTTTGAATTGAAAAATCTTCCTGGATGGAAGAGAAACATTGTTGTCTACCTGGTTGATCTGTTGAACTGTAAAGAGCCCTGAGATGACGTGTTATGAATTGGCGCTATAGAAAAAAAACTGAAGTGAATTGAATCAGAGCGGTTATCAGTGGTTGAAGATGATGGGCTTGAGCTTATTCTCCAGGTGGCCACAGGTGAGCCATTTTACAAACTACCTGCCAGGGTAAACTATCATGAGGAGAATCCATGACCAGCAAAAAGTTTGCTTTCCGTAGGGTATGTTATGTAATTTTATATTTCATTTTACCACGACACTACAGATGATTACCACATAATGTTTGCTTCTTGATGATCACTTGGGTGAATGTGGGGAAAGTGGGATGCTTTTTGAAAGTGTAGCTTCTGTGGTATTTATTTAGCCTATTTCATTTCTAGAGCTTCACATGATACAAACCTGTTCAAATACTTATTATTTAGGTAGAACACATGTCATGATTGGATTGGACAGAATTTAAATGAGCCATTTTAATCTGGATTCATTCCAAGATTACAGTGAGATTAGAAAGACTGTATTCTCATAAAAACGTGTATTGTTGTTGTTAACATCATAAATGAATGGTTGTCATGGTAGCAGATTGTAGGGGCGGGGCCTTTGGGAGGACAGGGATGTGGAAATCCAAAACAAGTAGTTTAGTATAGGCTGAATAAGGAGGTTTGTGGTTCATGCGGTCTGCCTAATCTGACAGGAATTTTCATGCACAAATGGCATTAATATGGGTCCTCGTTGTTAATATTTTTCTAATCTGTCATTGTAAGGGACATTTAAGCAAAGGTTTGTGGGTAACTGTTATAATCCTGTTATTCCACAGGAATTAATTGTTTGGGAAAAAAAAATTCTGGTTCAAATCAGGAAGAAAACTGTTTTCTTTAATTGTTGGATTGAAACGTTTAGTTTGAATAAGAAAAATAAATACATTCAAAAGAGTTTTTATTTAAAAGTTTAATTATGATTTTAAATGTTGAAGAAACCAGGTGGACAAATAAAAAGGTACTTATGGATTTCTCTAAAGAAGGTAGGAGGGGAATTTATTACAACAACAACAATGATAAGAAACGCTGAATATTAAGAAACTTTATAGTCATTATGAGACCTTAATGACTTTTCATAGAAACAAAGACTCAGCAGGTAGAAGTAGAACAGATAGAAGTCATTTAAGGACAAGGAAGAATCATCAGAGGAGTAACTTAACAATACAGAAACATGAAACACCCTGAACTTTCTAAAAAAAACTGGAGACTGTTCTAGAAGATCCAAACATGCTTGGAGCCAGAGCTGCTTCTAGAAACGTAGCATGTAGAGTGTGGATGAGGTGCAGGCTGTGCTGAAACAATGAGCTGGAGGTTTATCGGACTGCCAGCGGGGGGTTGATATGTGTGGGGGTGTGAGGTGATGGAAGTGTCTGACTACTGGGCCATGATTGGCTTCACAGCTCTGGGAAATATAAGCAGCCATGTAGCATAAAGCCAGCATCTTTACCCAGAGGCCTTCTCCCCGCCAGATAACGAGGCCCTGCTTCCTTTCATCTTAATTGCTCTCTACTCCCTGACATCACAGCAGCCATAAAGGAGGCTGATAATAACTACGCCTCATAATGCTGGGGGGGGGGCTGTTTTTATTGGTCCACCTGTCATGTCCAGGGTGGGACAGATTTAGGTCCACAGAGAGAATACAAACCACAGACACAGAGAACACTTCTAGACCTTTGGCTTATAGATCTATCACCATCATCATGATCATCATCATAATATGATCTTCACATCATCATCATCACCATAATTACATCATCATCACTATTATCACCATCATCATAATGTGATCTTCACATCATCATCACCATTATTATCATCCCCATCATCATCATCATCATCATCATTACCATCATCATCATCACTATTATCACCATCATCATAATGTGATCTTCACATCATCATCACCATTATTATCATCCCCATCATCATCATCATCATCATCATCATCATCATTACCATCACTATTATCACCATCATCATAATGTGATCTTCACATCATCATCACCATTATTATCATCCCCATCATCATCATCATCATCATCATTACCATCATCATCATCACTATTATCACCATCATCATAATGTGATCTTCACATCATCATCACCATTATTATCATCCCCATCATCATCATC